GGGGGAACACGCTGTATTTGAAGCTGTAACTCCCAACAGTAGTCTAAGCGGCAAGCCCTTGGCCGCACAGCCCACTTCAGCCTGGTGAGACCGAGTGCCATTGTTGTCCTTACTTTCTGCTTGTTTTTTTAAGACGAGGTCTCACCATGTAACTGGCTGTCCAGGAACTTGCTATATAGACCAGGCTGGCCTTGAACTCCCAGAAATCTCCTTCCCTTTGCTTCCCAACTGCTAGGATTAAAAGCAGATGCCACCAACCCCAACTGTCCCCACACTTTCCTAAGCAGAGTGAGCATAGATTTGTTACAGAAAAGTGAGAACTCCCTAGAGTAGAAAGTTCCTGTCGTCCCCATTTTTAAGACAAGGATCAGGGATCTTGGAGAGGGAAACCCACTCCTTGCTGGAACAAGCAGCAGGCCTAGGGCTCAAGTGGAAGCCTAACTCCACCCAAGATTTCGCTTGGTTTTGCTTTGATTTGTGCTTTTGAGGTAGGGTTTCTCGTTGCCATGACGATGACCTTGAACTAAATCTCCCCCCTTCACCCCGGACGCTGGGATCATACACCTGCACCTACACGGCCAGGCTCAGAACCCGAGTCCGTTCCAGGCAGAGCTTTCCTCCAGACGTCTAAGTCTCACTTGCTGATGGCCTAAAGTGTCCATCTTGTGGAGAAAGATTGGCCCTTTGCATGTCTGACCTGGAGGGTAGTGAATGTTTAGTAGGTCTTGTACGGTCGCCGTGACCTGAGCAACTAGTCTTTCCCACCGCGAGATAGTTCTCTCCAATAGTTCTGTCCTGTCAATAGATAGTTCTCTACCAATCCCTCCACCGCCCAACATCGGGGATACATTCTTCTTCTTTTTTTTTTTTTTGATTTATTTATTTATTATTATGTATACAGCGTTCTGCCTGCACGTACGCCTGCAGGCTAGAAGCGGGCATCAGATCCCATTAGATGGTTGTGAGCCACCCTGTGGTTGCTGGGAATTGAACTCAGGACCTCTGGAAGAGCAGACGATGTTCTTAACCTCTGAGCCAACAGTCCAGCCCACATTATTCTTTTTCCTACTGCAGGCCATCTTTCCTACCTCACCCCACACCCGGCTGTGCACCAGCTCTTTTTGGTCAGCCGTTGACCCTGCCCACCACCTCCCTTCTCCAGGCACCAGTGACTTTCTATGACTCCACACCTTCGGGCCGGGTCTTGAACCGCTTCTCCTCAGACGTAGCCTGTGTGGACGACAGCCTGCCCTTCCTCCTCAACATCCTGCTGGCCAATTCTGTAGGCCTGCTGGGCCTCCTCGCTGTCCTGGGTTCCGGTCTGCCCTGGCTGCTGCTCCTGCTGCCGCCCCTGAGCCTCATCTATTACAGCGTGCAGTACCACTACAGGGCCTCCTTCCGGGAGCTGCGGCGCCTGGGCAGCCTCACCTTGTCTCCGCTCTACTCCCACCTGGCTGACACCCTGGCAGGCCTCCCTGTGCTCCGGGCTGCAGGGGCCACTTACAGGTACATCTCCCAGCCAGCGTCCAGGGCGGGGATGGGGCGAGGTGACGGAGAACATACAAACCAGGGAGTACAAGTGAAGGAGTCCAGTCTTCTTCAGAAGACAGGGAGGACACTCGGGAAGTGTACACATCAGAAGAGAGTAAGGTGGGCCGGGTGGACGCGTAGGTCAGCTTCTGGGAAGGACGCACGTCACAGGGAAGGAGCGACATCCATACAGCTGGCTTGCCTTCCTTGCCGGGCTCCTCCAGGTTTGAGGAGGAGAACCAGCGACTCCTGGAACTGAACCAGAGGTGCCAGTTCGCTTCCTGTGCCACGATGCAGTGGCTGGACATCCGACTGCAGCTCATGGGGGCAGCGGTGGTCAGCGCCATTGCGGGCATTGCCCTGGTGCAGCACCAGCAGGGCCTCGCCAACCCAGGTGCCGTCCTGAGACCCATCACCCTTACTTTAGGAGCAAGTCACTTCGTATCATCGTTCCAGACCCCCCACCCCACATGTCTCCCTAACCCCCACCCCATCCTACCATTACCTCCTACCCCAGTGCTCCCTGTGAGGATGCTTCATCAATGCCACCATCACTCTCAGTGCTAAGGAAGCCACAGGGAGTGGTGGGTCTGGGACGACCCAGATGTCATCCTTCCCTCGCTCCCATCCACAGCCCTTCTGCTCGGCCGCCATCCCACCTTAGCTATCTGCCTGCCGCCCCTCATGGCCTCCTTCTCCAGACATACTCCAGCTGGCCTTCCCCACCCCTGGCCCGGGTTCCGCCATAGGCCCGCTCCTCCACCCTTGAAGACCCACAGTCCAAAGCTGGGATTCTCCCCCAAGACACTTCTCAGTATCCAGGGTCCCTAGCAGCTGGTACTCCTCTCCGCAGGGCTGGTGGGCCTTGTGCTGTCTTATGCCCTGTCTTTGACGGGCCTGCTCTCGGGCCTGGTGAGCAGCTTCACACAGACAGAAGCCATGATGGTGAGCGTTGAGCGACTGGAGGAATACTCCTGTGACATTCCCCAGGAGCCCCATGGCCAGCCACTGCAGGTACATCTGTTCTGCCACCCCTGCCAGACATGGAGCGTCCAGTCCTCCCAGTCCTTTGCCTTTGGCTCCTGGCCGTCTTCTCCCTGTGTCCTTTCTCATCACCCCGACCTGTTTCCTCCGCCTTTGCTCTCATTCCGGCCGTTCCTCACTCATCTCCTTCCATCCTCCAACCTTGTCGTCACCCTCATTTCCCCTTCACCTTGTCCCACAGTCACCCCACCAGCGCATCAGCTGGCTGACCCAGGGAAGTGTGGAGTTCCAGGACGTGGTGCTGGTGTACCGGCCAGGGCTGCCACATGCCCTAGACGGGGTGACCTTCCGCGTGGAGCCTGGAGAGAAGCTGGGCATCGTGGGCCGCACAGGCTCCGGCAAGTCTTCCCTGTTTCTGGTACTCTTCCGGCTGCTGGAGCCCAGTGGAGGGCGAGTGCTCCTGGACGGTGTGGACACCAGCCAGCTGGAGCTGGCCGAGCTCAGGTCTGGGGTCAGGAGATTTGGGAGGACGGAGGAGGGTAGTCCTCTAGGAAGGTGTCAGACAGCCAGGGCCAATGGGCAGACAGGGGAGAGGAGGTAGCCAGGTGAGGACAGGTAAGCTGTGGCCACCAGCACAGCTGATGCTCATTGGATCTTCCTTGTCCCAGGTTGGGTGCCCTTCCGAAGTTCTCAGAATATGTGTTCTGCTCCAGACACTAGCCGTTGCCTTCTAAATCAGAGCCTCTAGGAACTGTATTCCCAGATGCCATGAGCCCCCAGGCCCAGGCTTGGCAGGCAGTCTACGGGACAGCCTGAGGTCTGGGTCAGTTGTACAAGTGATCTCATCTGAGCTGTGTGTGCCTCACCCACTCCCAGTTTTCCTTAGTACCACTTTCTCTCAGTTCCACCACATGGAAAGGGGAAGGAAGCTCCGACCGCAGCCAAGGGCACTTGTCTGCCCCTGTCCTGCCCCTCCCACCCTCCCTCCAAAGCTGTGATGGTCAGTACCACAGTTCAGCCATTTGTTCTCTGGCTTTGAATGCCTCAGTGAAGTGTAATCCCTCTGGCCAGGGTCTAGGCCTTTGGTCTCTGTGGTGCTCCTCACTGTACCATGCTGTCCTAGGTATGGGCTGACTCACTGAGGACTTGGTGGACACAGGGTGGGAAGCAGAGGGTTCTCCTCCCCAGATCTCCTTAGGAGTGTCAGGCCGTGTAGGTAAATTTGGAGTCCAGCCTGACCCCCATGTCCTTGCTCCCCAGATCTCAGCTGGCTGTCATCCCCCAGGAGCCTTTCTTGTTCAGTGGGACTGTCCGAGAGAACCTGGACCCCCAGGGCCTCCACGAGGACAGGGCCCTGTGGCAAGCCCTAGAACAGTGCCACCTGAGTGAGGTGGCCGTCGCCATGGGTGAGTCCCGGGCTCACCGGAAGGGCAGGCGAGAAGCAAAGAATGGCCACTGGCAATGCAGGTGTCCTGCTTACAGGCGGCCTGGATGGAGAGCTGGGCGAAAGGGGCCGGAACTTGTCCCTAGGGCAGAGGCAGCTGCTGTGTCTGGCCAGAGCTCTTCTCACAGATGCTAAAGTAAGAGACCTCCCCGAGAGTGTGGGAGGAGGAGGTGGAGGTCTCAGGGCAGAGCTGAAGGCGGGAGCCGTGGGTGGGTTACAGTCTCCCCTGCTGAAGGCGGGAACTGTGGGTAGGTTACAGTCTCCCTGTTCCTTCCCCTCCCTGCTGCTTACTGTCCAGATCCTGTGCATTGACGAGGCCACAGCAAGTGTGGACCAGAAGACAGACCAGCTGCTCCAGCAAACCATCTGCAAACGCTTCGCCAACAAGACAGTGCTGACCATTGCCCACAGGTGTGAGACTCCTCGGGGACAGTACAGACCTAGACCTCAGGGAGATTAGACCCCCAGAGACAGCCTTGACTAGGCAGGGGATCAAGGCCCTCGGTAGCACATCTAGAGAGACACTATGGTTCTTCCCATAGCACAGACCCAGGAACTCAAGCCTGTGGGGTACAGGCCTGTGCCGTCTGGAGGGACCTGGAAGGAGATGAGGTCTGCTTTCTCTTTAGGGCTTTGTACTTCACCCTCACTGATGGACTTCTCCCCCCACAGGCTCAACACGATCCTCAACTCTGACCGGGTGCTGGTGCTCCAAGCCGGGAGGGTGGTGGAACTGGACTCCCCCTCAGTCCTGGGCAACCAGCCCCATTCACTGTTCCAGAAGCTCCTGCAGAGCAGCCAGCAGGGAACCCACTGAGCCTCCTGCTGGGATGTGTGCTCCTTCCCACCAGGGCTGCTGGTTTACAGTCTCCTCTGCTTCTACCTCTCCTCCACGTCCTCAGAGGGGACACAGCACCCTGGCTTCCTCATGAAAACCACTCCTGGGGGGGGGGGGTCAAAGGCCGAGACTTCCCCAGAACCAGCCCACCATGGGCCTTTTTACTCAGAATTCTGGGCCAGTTTCTCTTCCACAGAAGCCCACTTGCTTTTTCATAATTTTATTTGATAAAATTCCTATCTTACATTCTGTGTTTTAAAAAAATAGTATTTCTGGTGTGAGGCTGAAGTCCCCTGGATGGGTGTACCAAAGCCGAGGGCTGGTGAGTCTGAGGTGTGAAGGAGGTAAGGAAGGCGGCTAGGAAGCCCCTTCCATCACAGCGCTGTGGTCTTACCAGGCTCAGGGGGCAGGTCTGGTGACAGAGGGAACCCTGCTGGCAGCATGCTAACCTGACACTCCTGATCCTGCCGAGCTGGGGCATAGTGTGGGGCTGGGTAGCAACAGGGCCCAGTGGGGCATATGCCTCGGCGCCATGCCCTCAGGGTCAGCAACACAGTGGCCAGGACCAGAGCAGCAGTGAGGGACCCAAACACCACCAGGGCAACTAGGCTAGACTCACCAAGCCCAGCCTCTTGTCTCCGCACCACCTCCTTCACTGAGATCCTTAGCAGGCCCGCCCCTGCACTGTGAGGGGCTGGCCCCGTAGCAGGTACAACTACAGCTGAGGTGGGCGTTTGTGGGGTGCCCATTGTGGCAGGGTCTGGAGCAGGTAAGACAAGCTCACAAGTCTTGCCACCATAGCCACTGGGGCACAGGCAGTCAAAGTCATGGACACGGTCCCTGCAGCGGGCGCCTCTCTGACACGGGCGGCTGGCACAGTCATCTAGGTTGACGGTGCAGAAGCGTCCAGCGAAGCCCTCAGGACAAAGGCAGGAGAAGCGGTTTATGCCATCAATACACGTGGCACCGTTAGCGCAAGGTCGCATCAGACAGTCGTCCACATTGACCTCGCAGTGGGCTCCCATGAATCCTGCCAAGCAGCGGCATGTGAAGTTGAGGGCAAAACCCTGGTTGTCCTGGCACTGCCCTCCGTTCCGGCACGGGAAGCTGAGGCGGGAGCCAGAGAGAGCATTCAGTGTCCGACCATTGACTTTCCCTCTGTCTCTGTCTCTGTCTCTGAGTTTCAAATAACCTTATTTTAAAAATGAGAATAAAAATAGCCAAATTGTGTGGGTTAAATGTGAGAACCCAATGTCAAGCAGCTAGCACGTGGCCTGGCTCAGAGCAGAGCTGCCTGTTATCCCCAAGGCTCTTAGACCGTAGCGGAAGTGGGGCAAGTCCAGCCCTGTGGACGTTTCATAATCAGCACAAGAAGAGCCAGCTAGCTCTTAAGGCTGCATCATGTCTGCTTTTGTAAGAAAGTAAAGGGAGTCCTTGGTGCCTCCCCTCCCACGCCACCCTCCTCCACCAAAACACCATTTGCGGAGAAGAAATAGCTCGGGTACAAAAAGGTTGAGCATATGAACCAGGCACACTGTCAAAGTGAGGTTTTTATCCTGAGATATCCCTGCACGGGTCTGATAGTCCTCCCACTCTACTGCTTCTTTCAGATTCTAGTCTAGCTTCCCCAGGGTCCAGCACTCACCCTGCCTGCTCACAAGGTCCAGCCTTGCGCTCACAGCCACGTCCATGAAAGCCTGGCAGGCACACACAGTGGTACTCACCACCCCCGTCATATACACACTGGCCTCCATTCTGGCAGGGTGACTGTGAGGTACAGATGTGTTCATCTGGAGAGGAGGTAAGAAGATGCCCTCATATTTGGTCCCCAGGACCCACATGGTCTAGATCCAAAGCTCTGTGAATATGGCTCATACTTCAGACCTACCCCTGGCCAGTAGCTGGGGAAAAGTATACTGAAGTCATGTTCTCAAAACCCCTGGTCTTGGCTCTGGTAGTCTGGGTCAAACTGACCTTAGACAAGTTACAGCTTTTCTGTGGACCATAGTATCATCATGTTTAAAATGGGTACAATTTGGGGTTGAAGAGATGTCTCAGCAGTTAAGAGAATACTAGCTACTCTTCCAGAAGTCCTAAGTTCAATTCCCAGCACCTACATGGCAGCTCACAATCTGATCCCCTCTTCCCATCTGAAGGCATACATACAGACAAACCACCTATGTACATAAAAAAAAATCTAAAAAAATGCATACAATCTTTAGTCACATCAAGGGGAGATGTTGAAAATACTTTCACACACCAAGGAAGGGTCAGATAAGGAAGAATATTTGAGGATTTGAACATGACACAGCAGGTTCTCAGTAAATAGTAAATGTTCATGGACATTCTAGAACGCATGGGCTCTACAGCCAATAGACATCCACCCTACCTTTGTCACAGAACTTTCCTGCCCAGCCACTGTGGCAGATGCACTGCCAGGGCTGGTGGCAGGTACCATGCTGGCAGCCAGGCATCTTCACGCAGCGCTCACAGTGCAGCCCCTCCCAGCCTGGATCACACCTGGTGGGGAAAGCACAGCATTAGGGTGCGTGTGTGTGTGTGCGTGTGCATGGGTCTGTGCGTTCATGTGTGTGTATGTGCATGTATCTGTGCATTTGTGTGTGTGTGTAAAGTAGAACCAGAGATACTAGAAACTAGTGGGATATACAACCGCCCCAAAGGAAAAGCAGATCAACCCCAGGTAGGTGCAGGGCTGGACAGATGGACACTGAAGCAATCAGACAGACCACAGTGTTCAAGTTCAGCACCTACATTTTGTCTAGCCTTCCATAATCTGTTTTCTCACCCGAACACTGAGAGAATGCCTCCCTTGAAGAGTATTTCTTAAATAAAACAATGTCTGTAAAGCCCCTGGTGCCATCCCTGGGGTGTCTGGTTATGCACATTTGAGTGAGTGACCTTCTGAGGTCTTCAGGACCTTCTTCCCTTCAGACTCTGGAAGGAGTGGCTGGGTTGTTTTGTTGTGGAGTGGATATTTTGTTTTTTTGTCTCGAGTAGACAAGGCTAGCCTGGAATCCTGATCTTTCCAGCATCACTTCACAATCACTAAAATCACAGGTATGTGTCAACACACCAGGTCTATGATTTTTTGGTTGTTGTTTTGTTTTGTTTTGTTTTTAGAGACAGGGTACCTCCTTGTAGCCGTGGCAGTCCTAGAACTCTCACTCTGTAGATCAGGCTAGCCTCAAACTCAAAGATTGCTTTGCCTCTGCCTCCCAAGTGTTGGGATTAAAGGTGCCACTGCCCAGCGACTTATTTTTTATAAGCCCACCAAGGATGTCTAGTCTCATGTACCCCAGCTCCATGCCAAATATCTGCCCTGGTCGGCTCCCTTCTCATGTCCAAACCCTTCTCTGCCACAGAATTTGCCCAGTCGGCCGAGGTGAGTCAATGGTAGAATTCTCCAAGAAACAGCCATCCTCCCCCTGGCAGCCCTTCTCTTCCATTTCCTCTTTCCTGTGGCTCTCAGTCCCTAAACTCTAGACACCTAAAGCTTCAGGTGTCTCTATGGTCATCTTGAGGGACAGAAGCCCACGAGAGAATAAAAAGTTGGATATGCAAGCTCTTAAGTGAGAGGCAAAATGAGATACTGGGAAGGGAGGGCACTGGTCATTTTGTTGTGTTAAAACAAGCGATAGGGGCTTAGGCACCTAGATACTGTTGCAGGTTTTTGACCTTGGGTGTGGAGGACCGAAAAGTGGGGAGTAAAGGATTTGAGGCATGTGTGCAGGTGAAGTACCTGCAGGAGCCGTCAGGAGCGCAGCAGCCGTGGGCCAGGTCACAGTGGGAGCTGCAGTCATCCGCTGAAAGAGATTGGTGTCATGGTCGTGAGTCTGGGTCCGAGTCTGGCTTCCCAGGCGCGAGACTTAACAGAGGTTTCAGTAGTCAGACGGATTCAACTCATGGGCACCATGAGCGTCCCATCCCAAAGAGAGCACCTAGATCTCACCAGCCCGATGGCACGGGGCGGCTGCAGTGCTGTCTCTAGCCGGCAGAGGTCAACGTGCCAGCGAGGACGGCTGAGGAGAGCCAGGACCCAATCCCTGGGGCACGCTCACCTCCGGCAGGCTGGCTGGTTGCCCCCAGGATGCACAGCAGGCACACGAGATTTAGGCAGCGGCAGCCGCTGGGCATGGTCAGTTCCGGCCTCGGGAGGGACGGACGGATGAACGGCCAGACGTGTAGACACCTGTGGGATGGCACTAGCTGGGAAGTGGCTTGACATAGAGATAGCGGCACTGATACCGGTTCCAAGTGACAGGAGCCAGAGAAGGAGAGGGACTCCCGGGGTGGGGAGTGGAAGGGCGGGGGCGAGGAAGGGATGAGCGACGAAGGGACTGGAGGCAGGAACCCACTAGCCAGGTCTTCGAGAAAGAGGCCAAAGGACTGGCAGCAGTGAGCGTGGCCACGGCGCGGGAACGGCCAGGGCTGCGATCGCGATCCAGGTGGAGGGATCCATAGGGATGTGGACAGCGCTGAACGGCGAGCGCGACGGGACGTGGGGGCTGGGGCGTGGGGGGGGAATGGATCCCAGTTCCTGGCTGCAAGAGATCTCCACCCGGGTCCTCCGACATCCACCCACCCAGGCCTGGCTCTCACAGCCCCCCAACCCCCGCTCGCTCCGCCTTGCTCGGGCCTGAGGTCCCCACTGGGGGACCGCGTCCTCCTAGCTTCTCACCTCCGGCTGGGAGGCGACGCGTTCCCAGGGCGCAGAGTCAAGCGGGATCCGACGGGCTGGGCCAGGGGGCCGCCCCTAGCTGGCCGCGGGGCTCGGCACCGAGGTGGCTGCCATGCCTGCCGAGCGCTCCGGAATCTGGGGCTGCAGGCGACCCCGAGCGGCGGCAGCGGCTCCTCGCGCGCTCGGCCCCCTGCCAGGGGCGGCGTGTGCCGGCGGAGCCCGCCTCTCCCCTCCCGCCGCCGCGGCCCGCCCCGCACCGACTGCGCCCCGCGCCCACCCCCGCTGCGCACGGCCACACCTCGCGCTGCCACTAGGCCCTGGCACCCCCAGCCCTCCTCACCCCTCCCTTCGCGGCCCCCAGCCCCCTAGCTTCGCTTTCCTCCTCCGAAATTAGAAAAGCAAAGGAACTGAGATGGACAGACACTGTAAAGCGCGGGCCGGAGGTGCGCGCCCTGCTGTTTTCCCATCTTCTCCCCCACCCCACCCGCTCGCCCCACTCTGCCCCTCACCCACGCCCGCCTCTGCGCGCCCCTGTCTACTGCGCATCATGATTTTCATTAGCCTTTCAAGGTTCTCATGTTTTAGCCCGAGCACACTGAAGCCATGCTTGCTCTCCACCTTCCTCTTGTCACCAGCCCACGCCTCCCAGGCTGGCAGAGCCTTCGTCACTGGCTTCGTAGGTCAGCGCCTGCTCTCTGTGGGCTTCTTTCTTTCTTCATTACCTCTTCCAGGATGGACCACTTCTACATAAATATCCAGTGTACTCTCCGTTCTTCCCTCCCGTCTGCTCCCAGTCTCCACAGCCCATTCCTTCCCAAGCCCACCCTTGGGAAGCCTGCCTGGATCAGACACTGCCTATCGGTGTTCCCCCACAAGTCCTTGCCACTGAACATCCCCACATCCGTTCACAGCTCCACATCTCGGACTGAGAGAGTTTTGTATTGAGAAAGGGTGGGGAGAATTGCCCCTGTAGGCCTCTTTACTCCTCAGAGCCAATGACTCAAAAATCCAAGGAAGACAAAGACCCCAAAACGTGTATTTGTTGTTGTTTGGTTGGGTAAGCGTGCAGAAGGGGAAGGCAGCCCACAGTCTTTAGGTCTTCCTATGGAACTTTCCTATCTTTAAATACATTGGAAAGTGACTTCCCTAACTGCACAGAGTGGCTTCCAATTGCGGAGACTAGAGGGACAGGGCAATCTACACACCCAAGCCCAATCCCAGCTCCCTAGCTGACTTCCTCTTGCCTGGGGGCTCTCTGAATTGTGGACTTCAAGCTTTTTTTTTTTTTTTTGGTTTTTCGAGACAGGGCTTCTCTGTATAGCCCAGGCTGTCCTGGAACTCACTCTGTAGACCAGGCTGGCCTCGAACTCAGAAATCTGCCTGCCTCTGCCTCCCAAGTGCTGGGATTAAAAGCGTGCACCACCACTGCCCGGCCTAGTGTTCTTTTTGTTTATTCTAAGTTTTGTTGTTTTCTTTTAGTAAAAATGGCAAACCCAAAGCATCAACAATTAGTGTAGAAAATGTAAGCCTGACATGCTAGCTTAACGTGGACTAGGAAGTCACCTTTTTGAAGTCTATAGGATTCTAAAATACGAGAATTTCAAGATGGAAGTAGCCTGGGCTGCGTAAAAAGATCTCTCTCTCTCTCTCTCTCTCTCTCTCTCTCTCTCTCTCTCAGAGAGAGAGAAACTGTGGACTCCATTGTTAGCAATAGTTCTCTCCGTGCGAGAAGATGAGAGAATCTTTGCCTGCCTTCTTGATTGATTGATTGATTCCTTCCCTTTCTTTCAACAAGATCTCAAGTAGCCCAGACTGGTCTGGAACTTACCATATAGCTAAGGATATCTTTGAATTCCTGACCCTCCTCAGTGTCAAAATTACAGGCATGCATTTACCACACCTGGCTCAGATTGTTTTTCTCATTAATACTTTGTATCATCTCTATTTTCCTCACAATGAACACATATAATGTTCTTAAAACTGAAGTATATACTATACATTGTATGTGCCTAATACTTATATTTCTACTTATGTTCATACTTTTTGAAATAAAGGAAAGGAAGAAATCAATCAAGAAGGCAGACAAAGATTCTATATTTGTTCAATATATATTATTTTTTTGTGTCATTATAAATTCATTCAACAAATAGGTATTGAGCACCTACAGGCGACAATTGTCATTCCAGGCACTAGAGATTCCTGAAAAACAGTGCCTCCCCCCCCCCGCCCCCCCCCCCCCCCCCCAGCCCTCCCAGTGCTGAAGACGGATCCTAGATCCTCATACATAGAAGGCGAACACTCTGCCTGTGGAGCAGCATCGTGTTCACTGATGCGTGACTGAGCCACAGACGGCGTGAGGAAGGAGCGCCCCCTCCCCCGTTCATTGATGGAATATATTAAAATTCACTGATACAACTCTGACGCTCCTGCAGCTTTGGCAATTGACACATCACCCGCCTCCCCCTCGCTCTCTGAAGACTTCAGCAGCTGGCTCATTGCCACTCTCTTCCCATCGCTCTCATTCTTAACGACTTTTTGCCTCTTTGCGGGGGGGGGGGCGGGGGAGAGGGGGGCTGGGAATTGTTCCGGGCTCTTGATAACTCAGTGCAACAGAAACAATTCCCCAGCATGGATGGTAGATTGCTTGTAAGGACGATCCCTATGTTACCTCCTGTCCTGTTCTAGTGGCTTGGCTGCTCCTCAACAGCAGGTTTGTCCCTTACATTTAGGGACTGACCTCTGTGACTAATAGAATGACCTGTGTGAGCTCCTGCAGTCTAGGTCTCCAGAGGGAGCTGCCCTTGGTCCTCCTAGAATCCTTCCGACATCAATTAAAGACGTCCATGTTAAGAACCAGGCATGTGCTGAGCAGTGATGATGCACACCTTCAATCCTAGCACTTGGGAGGCAGTGGCAGGCAGATCTCTGTGAGTTCGAGGCCAGCCTGGTCTACCACCCTGCAGGTAGGAGAGTCAGACCAGCTAGGGCTACAGAGTGAGATAGTG